GAGGACAGGTGCTCCCTGTAAATGCTGCTAATGCTAACTATAAAGTCAGAATTCAATTGTGAGTCAGCTTCAGGGTCTCGGCATGTTTATCTTCTCTGTGAGGTTGGCATGAAGCCCAGGCTCAGGCTCTGCTTTATGTTCAAGTAAAACAGGTGAATCCAGAAAGGAAGCACAAACTCAGGTAGCAACCACTTCTTTCCTCGTGTTTGTCCTTATCATGAGCACAGAGGGAAACATCCCAGCTTTCCTGATTGGAGCAGCAGCAGCAGCCGCCGGTGTTACTCAACAGTTGAAAGCCTCGGGGTTTCCCAAGGCAGGGAGTGGCATCCCCTCTCCACTGGTGAACACATCAATAATCCCTCAGGCTGACTGACTGGCATGAAAATAAAGCAGGAAGACCTGTGGAGAAGAGGCAATTAGTGTTCACTCTAAGGTGGATGGGTTTAAAAGGTGGGTGAATCATGAGGCCCGGTTGGCTGAAGGTTCGTGTTGCTCTCCAACGCATCCATGGGGGTATGAGCGAGTATGAGTCTGACACAGATGAAGTGCTTTGACTGCTGAGTTGAAACTCTCTATAAGAATCAGTTCATTTACTGTTTATCTTTATGAACTAATTTGTCATTTTAATGCACTGGTTTCCAGTACACGCATGGAACAATGCCAGCTGTCTTAAAGATAAGTATAAATGTAATTCGTGTAATTCGGCTCAGAGAGCATTTAGGCTGATGTATGAACAAACACTACAACCAGGGGGAACCTGCTGATGTTTCAAATATGCCCTGCAGCAACTCCAAAGCTTTCCTCGTCATGCCGTGTAGGAAAACAATATAAAAACAAGACGTTGTGGTTTCTGTCTTTCACAACAGGTCTAAATACCTAAATGACGATGCAGGTCATGTCAGTGGTTGTGAAAATAACCTGATATGTATCCACAGACAAAGCCCAGGTGCTCTGAGGCACCGAGGCTGTTGGCCTCCTGGTACGTGTCCTTTTTTTCAAGGCAGTTTTTTTATTTGATCATTTTATGTTGTTATTTTAATTTTGGCCCATGGCATGAATTCCCCCTTAGAAGCATTTAATGCCCAACAGTTCAAAGTCACAGGAGTCGGCCCGGCACCTCACTGACTTTCTTTGCCTCCCTCAGGAGCAGCACCTGATCAGATTTCATTAGCACACGGCTGGTTTCATATGTGCTACTGTTATCAAAATAAAACATGCCAGTCGAACATAAGCAGCCATCAGTTTGTAAAAAGAGAAGCTAGTTTGGTTTAAAATGTTCAAGAGAACAAAAAGAATGACTTATTTAAACGGCGCCAAATCACAACAACAGTCGCCTCAGGGTGCTTTGTCGTGTAAGGTCGACCCTACATATATATACATATAGAGTGAGTATGGTTTTACTGTCAGCTAGTGAAGGTAAAAGTGCCAGTGCACGTTTTAGGTTTGCTTAACTTTAAAACATTAAAGTCATAAGAAAATGAGCAACAAGCTTTTTACAAACTGAGCAGATTAAATGTCACGATGAAAAATCCTGAATTCTGATCTTTGTTCACTCAACCTTTCCAACTCCAAAGAGCATTTTATAAAAAGTCACACCTGTTCATAGTCTGTCGTTACTTTGGCAACAAAAAGATGTTTCTTTTAAAACATCTGAAGAAACAAGTTTGGACATTTTTCTGCTGAAAAACACAAAACTGGTGTGTTTGAACTGGGATTTGGATACATGCTGGTGTCTGTGGTAGGTAAAGCATAAAGCTCCGTTCTGACTGGGCTCAGCGCCCACGTGGAGCACAACGTTTTAATGCACCAGATAATCTTCAGCGTCATTTTAAAGAAGCCAACATGAACTTTTATCCAAATGATGCTCGTTTCCTGAGTGTCATGCATCACTCTTTCAGTACAGCCATCCAACAAGTGAAAATCAACAGGATCTCCTGGACTTAAACACCAGCACGGCCTTCTCACGCACATGTTCACTGAGACAGCACAGCAGCACCTGACACCCTGGGAGAGAGCACACCTCATCGCTGACTGTGTTGGAGCGTTGCTTTAAATGAGAGCGATGTAGGTCGTTTGCCTTTCATTAGTTTGGGGATCAGTGGACTTTGAGATCAATAAGAATGGGCAGAGTGAGGGAAGTGACACACACAGTCAATATGCATATCATGAATATTAGATGGTGAGAAAACAGAAGGATAATGGATAAAAATGAATCCACCGTGTACAATCGGTTAATCTGACAAATAACAGCTGAAACGAAACAATGACATAAAGTGTGTTTGTTGGACGAGCTGAGTGTTTATCCTCTACTTATAGTCTCTTCATGTTTCCCACAAGCTGCCACAGCGTCTTCAACAAATCCACTCCCCTGTCTGCCTTCACGCTGCGTCCGGCCGTGTGACTCATGTTTCTCGTGTTTACGCTGCGGCAGTACATCACCTAGTCGTGATGACGAGGACTTTGCCATAAGCCACAGCAGACCACACTATATCCACCCTGCTGGCACCGCTTCAGTGTTTTCATTCCATATGATAGGAGTCACACCGCATTCCTGTTACAACTTCTCTGTGGCACATAAAAATCTCCTCGGAAAACCGCAGAGCCATGTGTTTTGAATTTTCTCTTTGTTCCCATTTACAGCATCTCGCTCGCTCTCATTTTTCCTTTACTCTCTCACACACAAACGCTGATCGCTGGCTCTCTTTCTGTTGATAGGTCCATTTAGTTCTCGTGAAAGCATTCCATTTATGTGCATTTGAGGTTTATGGTTGTCACTGACAACCGGCTGACAGAGAGTGGCAGCCTCTATCAGCGTTGGGGGTTTCCAAAGGAGCTTACGAGACACAGAGCGGCCATTGATGGGGCGAGCTTTATGGACTCAGAGCCACCCAGAGACAGCAGTGTGTGAGAAACACACCGAGGAGACTTGGAAGCGTCCTCCTTTGGCCCTCACAAGCCTAAATTACAACACTGTGATCATCTGGACTTTGTCAACAAGAAGAATTTGCTCCTCTGTCGACTCTCTCATTGGATTTTCCGTCTACTTTTAGACAGATATATGAGGAGGAGGGTGGCTATGATGAAACCGTTCCTTGTTCTTCTTCTGCTCAGTCACTCACATGCACAGCGCTCTCCTGTGTTAAAATCCAGTGTTTCACCCACCTCGACCTTGCTTTACAGTAAAACTACACTCAGTGCTTTTCTTTATTTTAATCCTCTCGGGATAGAAATTGTGTCGCCTTTGCCACAATGAAAGATCTTCAGATTCCACCTTTCATTGAAGGAGACGAGGAGCACAGCACACTGTGAGGAAATGCAGGTGATGATCCTCACACAGTGAATCAGAACGGCTCTCACACTGTGTGTTTGAGGTTAACAGATAATAAAATAACCGCTCACAGTTACCTCTTAAGATTCTTGCACTGTTGTATGTGATAAATGTAAGAAGATACAATGAAATTAAAATGCAAAGTGTCCCAGCATCCCACAGAGCAGTAGTCAGGGTTCTTTGTGTACAGGCACTTGCAGTGCCAAAAATAAATAGACAGACCAAGAGTAACATGCTTGTTTATGTTGGTGCTAACGTTGGTCAAATAGACGGCATGAAGGTTTCCGGGTCTGAAACCTAAAGCCAGCTCCGGATCCAGAATGACCCTCTGCCAGGACCTCTGGGATTGGGTGAGCTCCTCTGTCGCTCATCATATCCTGATCTCAAAGCTTCAAGATGACAGCAAAATATCTACATCACCGTGATGGCGTCTGTGGTTGGTCTCAGCCGCTGCCGTGGAGAAGACTGAAGACTGAATAAATAAAGTCTTTGTAGTGACTTGGAAACAAGTGCAGCCACTGTGTGCTGTTGTTTTCTGATATTTCATGTTTCATCTGCTTCTTCCTCGCTGTGCTGATCTCCACTATCTGTTCAAATTAACTCCGCCCCCAGCCATGACTTTTTCAAATACCTGCACTTAGTGTCAGTATTGCTACTGGGCAGCATGCTTTGACTTTTTGAGGACTGGCTGCGTGTACATCTCTGTAGGCTGTATTCCCACAGCCCCTCTGTGACCTGTGCAATCTGACGCCACGGCAAAGCCAAAAGTCCCAGACTGAGATACTGGGACAGATGCGTCTTTTCTTACGTTCACACTGGGAGGAGCTACGATGGGAGGAAAGTATGCAAATACAGAAGGCAAGCAGATATGTTAGCGTAATGACACGCACATACTACACAGCCTTTGCTGCTCTTATAATTACTGCAGGGATTTAATTACCGAACACAAACCTTGGTGTTTAATCTTTTTCTGCATTATGTTCTATTATTCTATTAACAAGCAGACTGATAACAATCTTTTAACTGTAACCAATCAACACTAATCACACAATAACAAGATGGCCACGATCGTTCTTGTAGCCACATTTAAAAAATGCAAAATAATATCAGGGTTCATCAGGAAAAGATGAACATCAGCTGCGTTTTGCAAGGTGAACGCAGTATTTTATCTTCAGTTCAGACCGTGTTTAAACCGGATCAGTTCATAACATTTACACCCAGAAATGCATCCTTTGGATGGAGGTTTCATTCAGATACTTCACTGAATGAAGCTACAAAAATAATAATGCAAAACAAATGGGAGAAAATATTAATTATACGTATGATTTCAGTTCTAGTTTGTGTTCTCCTGGTAAATTATTAGTTTTGCTTTCCTAATAAGAGGCAGTCGGACTTTCAAACATTAACCTGGCAGAAGTTTCTAGACAGGCTCGTTCTGATGGACGGACTTTGTAGTGGGATTAGAAAAAAGTCCGTCAGTTCAATTGTTTCTTTAAAAAATGTGACTATTTTAAAACACAAGTCTATAAATGAATTTGTCTGCTGTATAGAAAGGGTTGCTTTTAGAGTATTGTCGGAAATTTCACCACACACACACACACACACACACACACACACACACACACACACACACACACACACACACACACACACACTCCTCCCTCTCTGGAAACCTGTTCTAGAGGGAGTGACTTGATCCAGGCGGCGTCCAATTATATGGAAGCAGCACTTATTCCACTTTATTCCAGGCTACAGTTGAGTGGCTTGGAGCCTTCAGAGACACACAGACTTGTAGAATAAAGGCAGAGCAACAGACAGAGAGACGGTACCCATGTGACATGTGCACGGAAAGCTGAAGACAAAGGTAGAAACCACACCGAGTCAGGTTGCGCGGAGAGGAGGCAGAGGATGCTCCCAAACAAACCCACGAGAGGCTTCTTTTTTTCTCTCATCTGGAAATTTACGGCTTCACATGAATGATTCATGAGAGCCTGTTTTGATTTCTAAAGGAGTAAATAGGCTCTGTTTCACTGGCCAACCTGCCAAAACGCGCCAGCAGAGCTGGGATCAGAGCCTGGAGAAAAATCTGAAGTCAATTAATTTGGGGGGAGTTTGATAAGAATTCTGGACCTCGTCTGTCAAGGATCAACTGTTGCTGCAGCCGGAGCGCGAACAGAGACATTCTCCAAGTGTGTCTGGCTTTTTTACTGGATGTTTGACCGTCACTCGGTTGTGCATGCAGCCACACAGCCAGTGTTGTGCAATTAACATGGAAGAGAGACTGATACTGCTTTTGATGCCTTGGATACACCTTCATCTGTCCTGATGTGATGCCACATTGTTGCGCTGAGGAGAATGATAATATGCCACACAGCTGCTGATAATCCCTGTGTGTGAAACTGTACAAATACATCTTTTTACCCCCGTTTGGACAGTTTGGGCATTTTCACTCACTGTCACGTCAACACTGACACGCGTTTTGTTACTGTGACCTTGCCCGGTTTTGACATCTATTCAGCGGGAGATCATGCTGATGATGATGGAGAACAGCGGCGTGGATGTGCATCAGGTTGACATCGATTCGGAATTTGAGCCTCACGCTCGGCCGCCGTCGTGCACCTGGCCGCTGCCGTGTCCGGAAGACTTCCCCGGGGGAGAGGAGGCGAGCCGAGGTCTGGCCCTGGCGGCAGTCAAAGTGGAGCAGTACAACGTGCCGGCGTGCCGGGGCGAGAGGAAAGGCGGCGCGCCGGCCGAGATCAAGCATCCGGCCGGCGCCCCGGCTCCGGTCGTGGCCGCTCCCGCCTGCATGTCCGGGGCTGCCCTCGACGTGGCCGGCCAGCTACGCAAAGCCAAGTCCTCCCGACGGAACGCGTGGGGAAACCTGTCGTATGCAGATCTCATCACCCGTGCCATCGAGAGCACCCCGGAGAAGAGGCTCACCCTGTCCCAGATATACGACTGGATGGTTCGCTTTGTTCCTTATTTTAAGGATAAAGGCGACAGCAACAGTTCAGCCGGGTGGAAGGTAGGCCACATGAAAGAATGTTCTGACACCACACAGCAAAGGTTTGAGTGCAATACTAGCCTACACTATGTTTAGCCTCAAGCTGTGTCTGCAGCACACCCCCTTTCCTGCATATCTCAAAGCCACATAATTGACCCTGGTTCCAGCAATTTATGTCAGTGCCGTGTCCTCGTGTCACTCCACAGTACAGTGTGTGAGCATGGGCAATGAGCGTGGCTGGATAGGGGTTCACTGGGTTCATTGCATTCAGGAATTCCAGCGTGTGCAAACAGGAGAAGCCACACGGAGCCCAAACTCCCCTCTTCACGGTTCCTCCTGGGTAGGCGAGCCGTGACGCATTTGCGCTCGTAAGCTTGTATTTCCCCGCGGTCACATCGGGGACATAGTGAGCCTCCTGTCCGATTTCTGTCACCTATGCCGTCGGTTGCGTGACGGGGATAAACCCTTTGGAGCCACCCCGCCCCCTACTATCCATTGCGCGCACGCCGAGTTACGCACAGGCTGTGGGAAAGCATGGCACAAGGAGAGAGGCTTAAAGGGTAATAAGAAGAGATGATGACAGTGGGTGTCACAGCAAACAGATGTAACTACAGATTATCATTCAAATTAATACGAGGGTAATCTCATAGACTGCTAGCTGTAATCTACTTAAGGTTATCACCTATTCTGTGTTAGGATTACTAGTCTTTTGTTTCCACGCCTCACATGTGGGTTTTTCCTTCGTAGCTACTGTTTGACACCGTTCTCGTTTACAAACCAACAGGAGACTGTCAATAAACCATCAAAGTGGGCTTCAAGTTACATTAAACACAAAAGTAACAGAACTGCATTTTATCGTAAATAACAAGAACATTTGCATCATTAGAGACCTGATTTGCTCTGTCTCCACTTGTGTTTTATGGTCTCAGTGGGAGTTCCCTCAGTGGGATGCAAGGGTCAGTGCTGCAATTAATGAGCGTTTTAAAAAGTGAAACGCACTGTTAACTGTAACAGAACACGGACGAGGCCTCAGGTTCTCCCATCTTGACTCAGGTTCACAGGCGCCGTGAAAACACACAATGTATTTATTAAACATGATGACAGTCTCCACAGAAAGAGTGGGGACTCGCAGTAGACATACAGATATAGCGAGAGCAGAAGTAAATTTTTTAAATCAAAGAGTTCATAATCAAAGCTACAGAGGATGAGACGTACAGACTTTCTTCTGTCATCGTTAAGGCTCTAACGGAAAACATCTCTACTGTGTACACGCTGACTTTATGGTTACAAAATTCTGATGACATCACTATGACATCATCAGAATGATTTCTTTATAAACTTTAAAGCCCTCTCAGAGCTGCATTAATAATATACAACTGAAAAAATTATCCCCATAACAGTCAATTGACAGTCTTGTTTGTAACAGGTGGAGGAGAAATGTGGATGCTTTTTAAAGCAGCGGTTTGTTGCCATGGTGTTTTTGCTTTAGTGGGTCACCCAGAGGATACTGTATCAGGCATGCAGAAGAAGAGGAAACAGGGTCATAGTGGGATTAATATGTGTGTGACATTTTATCCTATTCTTACAATGTTTTTGTGAGCGTCTTTCTTCTTATTTGACTAACTTTTTCCTTCAAGCTTCAACTCTATACCAGCTGAAAACTGAACATAACCGAGTTGCAGATTAATCCACGTAAAAATGTGAAAGAACAACAACAAAGAAACGTAAACCAATGATAAACAAGACTGGATATGACAGGGTTTAATTCCCTGAGTCTTGTTTTTGTTGCTGACTGGGGGATGCTCAGCGTGATCCCTGGCTGACCTCCACTGAAGCTTTGTTTGGAGGTTTTGATTGGCCGGTGTGGCAAGATAGGTGATTGGTGCAGAGACGGACTCCAAGTCCTGCGTGAAAACAACAACTTGATTCAATCACAATAAGTCTCATCAACAAAAGAGAGTAAGAGAGAGACGTGCACACTGCTTCAATGAAATTTCTAACGCAGTGTGTTTATAGGTATATAAGACATAAAAACGTACGCAGGCACTGACATTTCAGTAGAATATGTGTACACCCTCACACTGAGGGGTTGGGGCTTGTGAGTACATGACTGGCTGGATGAATGGGACGAGTGGGAAGGAAATAAGATCCAATCAAAGTCTTGCTGCTAAAAGAAGTCTTTAAGAGCTGTTGTGTAATCGCGTCTGAGAGCTGCTGCTCAGCCCTGCCACTGGGCTGTGTCTCCATATCTAGGCCAGCAGCTTCCCGTGCACCCTTCAGACAAACACTGTTGAGGTGTCACTCACTCGTTTAAGTGTGAAGTGCTAAGGCCACAGCAGCCAATCAGATGCTTTCACACACTGCTTGTCTCCAATGATACGTATGTGGATTTCTTTGATTGTTGTCACACACACACACACACACACACACACACACACACACACACACACACACACACACACACACACACACACACACACAGGCAGTGTGTGTGTGGCAGCAGGGTTGCACTGCTGACTATGTATGGATTTCTCTGACTGTGGCTCAGTAATTGTGGTCAAGTGTTTCAGCCATGTTTGTTATTGGCTCTGAGGTGGGAGGCTGTGTTTGGCTGTATGAAGTGAGTTCAGTTCTGTGGGTGGTTTCAGTGCTGCTGGTGGTGACGGGGGAGGGGGGTGCGTTCTCTCTGTCTCACACACACACACACACACTGTTATGTTCATTTCACAAGTGGCTCTGCGTGGGAATGGATGTGCTGAGCTGTGGCCTGTCTGCAGGCTGTACTGCACACAGATTGGGCAGCAGGCAGGCAGGTAGGCAGCAACGATCTGACTCTACCTGAAGGCTTTACGAAGAAGCATGTTAGAGGTTCATTGTGGGTGTATGCCTGTGGTAATCAGACTGCGATAAAATGACATGAACACAAGACAAGCAGCAACTTAATATGTATTAATTTTTGTTTTCTGTCTCTCATGAGAGACTGGTCGTGAGAGACTATAGTGTTTCTTTCCGTCGGTATATTCAGCACCAGAACGACTGTAGAGTTTCATTAGTGAACTCAGCTTAGGGGAGGCATATTTTCCCAGCAATCTACACATGAACCCAGATCAAATACGTGTTTAGAACTGATCTGAACCTGATGAGACACATTTTAAAAATCCTCACAAAGTTTCACCAAAGCCAAGCAGGTTTCACAGAATAACTAGTACTAGGACTAGCTATTTGAAATGGGATGCAGTTATATTTATGCTTTTCATGTTAGAACAAGCTCCAGGTCTTCTGAATTTGGAGTGGCTCTGCTAAACACCTGACGTGATGTAGGGGAAGCATCAGGTTTGTTTACTATACCAGCGTGGTTGAGCACAGGGTTGTGTTTCCAGTGTTATGGTCGGGTAAAACAGTACGATGCCGAGGACAGTAACTAATATGTAAATATTACATATATATTACAGCACAATTTGGATTCTGTTTCAGTTTAAGCTCCTCAGTTCGTATCTTTCAGCCTTTGATGAAAATTGGAGATAATGTACTGGAATTTCAGGAGCAGGGCCACGCCTCCAAACACGCTCCTTCCGGGCCTCATCTGTATACGCTCCCCCAGTTCTGCGAGCTGTTCATTCTCGTTTACGTGCCCCTCCCTCTCTCCTTGTTTTCAATTCTTTAACTTCTTCACTTCTATTTAGTACACGGGGAGCTGCCAGGCCCGGCAGCCGTCGCCAGTCCCCTTCGAGGCCTTCCCCAAACCGCAGCTCAATTCATGTCCAAGCTTCACCTTTACCTACTAAAACGCTGTCAAACCTAAAATGAGGACGTGGGCCCAGCTAGTGAATATGAAGATATACGTATCTTGGATTTTTGTCACTGGGGACAATTGTAAAGGTGGAGTTGTATCGTTTGGCTCTTTTTATTTACATATGAACAGAATATATTTTTTAGAGAACAAATTCCAACCCATGCCGTCAACACCAAAGCAAAATCTTTTCAGTAAAATGAACACAGTGTTTGATAAAATGAGGCAAACCTGGGTTGCTTTAGACTGTACAGGTGTAACTAATAAAGTAGCTCACGATCGTGTCATCCGTCCATATGCAGCATCTTGTCTGAACGCACGTAGACACGAGGATCATTAGGCAAGGAGGAATTTTACAGCTTATTCCAGTGACCTTCCAGTAACACAGATTAAACTGAAAAACTTTAACACGGTGACTTATGAGAGAACTCACAACAAAAGTATTGATAATGATGTTTTAACTCCTGCAGAGAAGAAAAGAAAGCAAATTACATCCATTGAATCTTTCCTCTGGGCTGCATTTTCACCTGCTGGAAATCAGTTTTAATCCAAAATGATGTCCGCATTAAAACAGTCAAACTGACTTTAGATTAGCTTATCTTCTGTGTCCCTGATTACAGAGAGCAAAACTGAATCTTTATTGCTAATCTGGATCATAAAGCACTTGCTGTATTACTGCCCGGGCTGAGGAACGTCATCGTGTTCTGCTGAGAATCCACTTGTGGGTGATAGAGAAGGACAACAAGGTGATGAGATGAGAAAGAGAAAGCAGAAAAGAGAGAAGAACAAGGTATTATTTGTCTTGCCAATAAAGCCTTTTTTTGAACTGGATTCCATATTGAGTGGGAGAGGAAGAGAGAGGTGGAAAGAGAAGAGATAGAGCGAGTGCGTGAGTGGTGCTGATGGCCCCTGCTGCTGAGCACATTGATAGCAGCCTTAATGCCTGTGATGCTCCAGTGCCAGCCCAGACAGAGGGGAATTGGTTGGAGATGGTGAAACAAGCTTAGAGGGTTCCCCGTGCCAGCCGGCCTGGCGCTAGCTCAACAGAAAGCCCTCTGCACCACTACACAGTTATTGTTATTATCACAAAGGCACAGCAGAAGGAGAGGCAGCTCTGGAGTTGGCAGGCCTGGGGCTGGGTTAACTGGGGGCGTGGAACGAGAAGAGGAATTTGGAAGGCGAGGGGGGTTGGTGGTTGAGTCTGAGACTGTGGTAAACTCATCTGATCAGT